TCAGATAGAAGGCAGGTCTCCACATGGGATTGGCCTCTGCTTTTGCCCTGGGGCAGGTGAGGTGGAAATTGTTTATTGAGCCTTCAGAAGATGCATACTTGAGAAGATGCCCAGCAGGGACATGGATATTTGCATTCAATCCTGGGGGCAACTTCAAGAATGAAGTGTTTCCTAGTGCCAAGCACTTACAGGCATGCCTAAGAAATGCAATGGCTAAAATGCATCTGGATTTACTGATAGATTTTGAACACATTTGTTTTACAAGGAAGTAAAATATTACAATTTCATATGCTGTAATACCTAAATTAGCAGAAGAACATACATTTTACTGATTAATTTAACAGCATCGACCCTCCAGAACACAGACAAGAACTGGGGACAAAGAAAATAAAAAGCTTTTATGCAATCAGAATAGATTGCATAAATAGTGTCCACATCCTAAGGTCCATATATATTAGTAGAAGTAGACTCCTCACAGTCCTACTCATAGTCTATTTACTCATATTTTTCAGACACTTTTAACAAGTTTGGTTATCTTGTTCCTAGCTCACAACACGTCAGAAGGGCAAAGGAGGAGGGAACATGGCGGGTTAGGGGACACAGATAGTTGGTAGAAACAGTTAACAACAGCAAGAAATGACAGCTAACAGAGAAGTGATATATGGAAAGATTAGAAAAACCAGACATTGAAAATTAAAAAGCAGAACAAACTGTGCCCACTTAATGTAGGGACAAAGAGCCCTCTACAGTTTAGGAGTCCCTGTATACAGCCATTAAAATAACTATTGCTATTACAAGGACAATCTTGAGTCATAAAGAAAGGATATAGTTATTTCCAAGTTCAGGAGTCAGGAAGGTAAATAGTCTTTTTGGAAAGCTTTCTGTTCAAAATGGTTAGAGATTTTGAGGGGAAAAAACAACTTAGATACTGAAAGTGCTGAACCTCAGTTAGCTAGAAAAATCACTTACATGGAATACTCACAGTATAGTGTGGCTCAATAAATGACCCATCATAATTGGAATACATCTTTATACCATAATAGAATGCACATTGGATAATTAAATTTTGTTGTGATTTACACATCTCCTTGAGCTACCTATGTGATAAAATAAAAATTACAATAAACAGATTTTTCACAACTACTTATCTAAGTTATCTGAATTTACAGTAAATCAGTATGGTTTACATTATTTTCTCCTGCAGGGAATGCAAACATTTCTTTCTTTTTTCTTTTTTAATCATCAGGTAAGGAGGAGATGTGTGAAGAAAAAAATAAAGGGCAAGTTTTAAAGGTAATTTTATAATAAATGTGTGGCTACTTCTGTACTAGACTTGAGTTATGAAGACAGCCCATAGATAAGTAGATTTAAGGAAAGAACTTCAGTTTAACAGACCCTATAGATGAAAGTAAGATATAAGATTTACAGCCGGGCGCGGTGGCTCACGCCTGTAATCCTAGCACTCTGGGAGGCTGAGGCGGGCGGATTGCTCAAGGTCGGGAGTTCGAAACCAGCCTGAGCAAGAGCAAGATCCTGTCTCTACTATAAATAGAAAGAAATTAATTGGCCAATTAATATATAGAGAAAATTAGCTGGGCATGGTGGCGCATGCCTGTAGTCCCAGCTACTCAGGAGGCTGAGGCAGTAGGATCGCTTGAGCCCAGGAGTTTGAGGTTGCTGTGAGCTAGGTTGACGCCACGGAACTTACTCTAGGCTGGTCAACAAGCGAGACTCTGTCTCAAAAAAAAAAAAAAAAAAAAAAAGATTTACTTCTTCCCAGCTCCAGACCTGTTGGTCAGCTCTACCTGAATGTTCAACAGAAACCATACACCAGAAATTGAACCCCAAACTTGGTCTCCTCCATTCCGTCTTAATGGTGTCCCGTTCCACCCAGTCACCCTAACCAGAAACCTGGAATTAACCTGGTCTCCTCCATGTCCCACAAATGCCAGGACTAGTCACTATGTCAAATCAATTCCACCCTTTCAATTCCTCTCAGGCCTCTCCCCTTCCCTGAAACGGCATTCACTCACCAGTTTATTTCAACTGTTTTCTAACTAGTCACCCTACTTCTCCACTGCATACTCCACACACGGAATCCCCCACACCACTACCAGGGTGATATCTGTAAAAGCAAAAAGTCCCACCATGACAGCCACTCTTAACTACTGTGCATATTGTATACTGCACAGCGCTAGCAAGGGCATCATTCATGGTGTAATCTGTGTGAACGGATCTCCCAAAAGTTTTACAGTGCACAACCCATACCACTATATCCAGCAATCTCACTCTACTCCCCTGCTTACAACACTCCAGTGACTCCCCACTGCTCTGGAAATAAAGTAAAAACATTTACTATGCCTTGTTCTGCCTGATGTAGCCCCTGCCTACCTCTCCAAATTTCCCTCTCCTTTACCTTTCATACTTTACACTCCAATCATTTAAAAGGCCCCTACAATTCCTGCAACCTACTATTCTTCCCCTTCTGCCTGCCTCCACACATCTTAATTCCTTTGCCTGGAATACTATTCTCCCCATCTATCCCTACCACACACAATCTCCACCACCCCCACCTCATCCACCTAGACATTTGTATGCATCCCTCAAAATTCAACTCATGTATAACTCTCTCCATGGAGTCTTTCCCTAACTCCCTAAGTGAAGTCAACCATTCCCTCCTCTGGCTGCCCCAGGGCAGATCCTGCACCCACGTGTAGCATTAGTTTATCACATTGTAGCATAATTTATGGCCCTGGGCAATCCTTAAATGGCTATTACCCAAGTGTCTTTCAGAAAGTTCTTATCCACAATGGAAAGCTTTGTAAACATTTTTTTTTTCTTTTTGAGACAGGGTCTCACTCTGTCTCCCAGGCTGGAGTGCGGTAGCTTGATCACAGCTCACTGCAACCTCAAACTCCTGGGCTCAAGTGATCCTCCTGCCTCAGCCTCCCAAGTATCTGGGAGCACAAGTGCATGCCACAACACCTAGTTATTTTTTTAATTTTTGGTAGAGAATAGGGTCTCACTATGAGGTTTGGTTGCTTAGGCTGGTCTCGAATTCACGTGCTCAAGTGATCCTACCAAAGCACTGGGATTACAGGTGTGAGCCACTGGGTCCAGTCAGTAAACATATTTTTAAACATGAATAGCTTTGAAGTAAACGAAAATTTTTTTCATATTTAAAATTATTGTGCATGTGCTCTATCCACATGGGTACAACCCTTTTGAGTGCACTCTGTTGTTCCATATGGAGGTAGAGGTTGCTGCTGAAAATGCTGAAAGGTACAAAAGTACTACAAGTGAGTATAAAAACACAGCACAGCAACTGATGTCATTTAGGTGCTGTGATGCCACAGCAATGGGGGTTTCTCAACATGCAGGAGGCTTCAAAGGTATAGGAAGATGAAACATCACCCAACTCTAGAAATAAGAGAAATCATTAGCAGTAGAAATGTTGACTTACATTTCATAGCAGAGCTAACAACACTTGTGATTAAGCACGCATTTCTCGTATGGAGATTTTTTTTTAATTTTTATTTATTTATTTATTTTTAGCTCTTAGGAAGATGCAGGATGTAATGAGAACAAGACGCAAAGTACTTTCCACTGCACTGCACAGAAAGTTTCAGCGAAATTCTTGTGCAGACTCCAAAGACTATTTAAATTGCTCTTAAGATGGGAAGGATTTTGTGCCCCCTCACCACACTCCCCCTTAATGATTTATCACGCAGAAAAAATAATATTGATCACCTCAAAACAAAACAGGCAAGACCAAAAAATTCTGTGTTATGAAGATGCATACACCACAGTTTGAATTGTTTCCTCTGGTCTAACCTAAGTGAAGTGGTTTACATGTCTCCTTCAGATTCGAGGACAACCCTGAATAAAGAGGGATATTTGGAACATGGGTTGTGGCTCCCTGATTTGTGGAAAATTGCCACCAAGTCGATTTTTTAAATACCAAAACTCCCATGCAAGGCTTAGCACTTGGTAAGCCAATACTACCTGGGAGCACAGGAAGGCATACCATCAATTGCAGCACCTTGTGCACTTGTCTGAAAAGGCCCAGCTGAACTTAAGGTCTCAAAGTTGCACTCAGTTGTCCAGCTGCTCCAGTGCCCCAGTCAGAATGGTCCCATTGGACGAATCTCCTCAGAGCCCCAGAGCCCGCTGCAACCTCCCTGCTGCACTAACCCCAAAGCTGGGCGACCTGGACTTGCTAACCCTGAGTTCATCATGACTGGCAAGTGACCAAGTCCACGTTACAAAAAACACTCACATCCTTTAACGAAACCACTGCAGCGGCAGTAAGGGTTTTGTGAGTTTGTTGACTTTGTTTTTGTTTGTCCTTCCAGACAAACAAGAGCTTCTGCCTTAGTAGTGAGGACCCTGGGAGGCAGGAAGCTCAAGGACCAAGATGGAAAGATGCATTTGTCTGAACGAAAAACCTCAATCGGTGGCAGTAGGTCTTTCTCTATAACTCCACCTCCAAATGCTGTGCCACCGGTACCAGAGTCTGAGCGTCTTTTTTTACTTGGTTTCCTCAAAGTGTGTTGAGGGGGGCTCGCATTTCCAGTTTCAGGGAATATTACAAGGGAAGTTCACCCTCCGAGAGGCTGGGTTCTGATGTGCCGGATACGGGATTGGAACATAAGGTCTAGTCCCACTTCTGCCGTGACTCACCGAAGTAAGAAGTGGACAGGAGACCTGAACCAGCAACGGCAAACCCTCACACCGCCTCCTGGACTTTCCCACGGTCCGCCTGCAGTGTCCGAGCCCATAGGAGAGCTGCACGCCTGCAGCACGGAGCTGGCCGGAGCAACAGAGCACGGATGGCGCGGCGGGGAGCGCCACTGCAGTGAAGAAGCGGGCGCATGGTGTAGAGGGGAAGACAAAGTGTGCTGGCTGAGCCGGTTGGGGCGGGAGCCGGTGAGGAGAGGAGCGAGCGAGCTAGGCTGCAGCCTGAACCCCTGGGCAGCCAGTGCTAGAAGGGGGCTTACCTGCGACGAAGACCGCTTGCAGGAGGCAAAGGTAGCTCTTCCCGTACTTCTCGGCAATCCTCACGCGCTGCAGGGCCATGGCCATGTCCACCTGCAGAGGGATCCCCTGGGCGATCGGCACAAAAGTGCAGCCGTCCGGGTTCAGGGGAAGGCCTGGGCTCCTGCCGCACAGCACAGGGGTCCATGGCACTGAGGCGGCAGCTTGGGACAAGTGCCTAGCCGCCTTCGTTGGCGAGCCCAGGTGGCCCCGGGACGCTGCGGCCGCCATCCTCACGCAGGAATGAGGGGCCGGGGCCGCCACCCCAGCCAGCCGCTGCGGAGCTCTGCCCCGCGCACCGCCCCTGTGCGCCCGAGCGCTGCCGGAGGGGTACCGCCCCCTGCCCGGCTCAGCCCAGCTGCGCTGCTGCAGCCCGCCCACCCTAGGCCCCCAGTAGGGGCAGGGGCGCCGGCGGCCTGAGAGCGCGCCGCGCGCGGAGTCCGAGAAGTTGGTCGGAGTTTGGGGCTCGGAAGGAGGTCTCCTGGCCGCCGCTGCTGCGAGGGCAACTCCTCCTGGGTGAGCACCCACGCCTCGTCGCTTCCAGGACCAGGAGAGGAGGCGGGGGCTGCGGAGGTGGGACGCAAGGAGCCAGAAGCGAGAACCCCTGCAGAGACGCCCATTGTCAGGGGAGGGAAGGCCGGGCTAGGAAGGCACATGTGGTGGGAGGAGATGACCCGGCCTCGCACTCCCATGGCAACTCTTGCAAGTCTTAGCGGTTCCTTAGCATCCCGGCCGGCCGGTACTGGTCGAGGCAAAGATTCAGCGCTGGGGAGTTGCACACTGCGTGCACATGCAAGTAGCCCTGCCAGGGTTGCTGTCCTTGCTTGCGCCAAGAAGATAGGAGCCCTGGATAGTCAGAAAAGGTCCGTGCTGAAGCCGAAATATGCCCCCAACAACAACAGCAACGCAAACGCGCGCACACACTCGAACATGCACACTCAGATCTTAGGATATGAGAAGTCGTGCACCCTCCAGATCCCTGAATCCCAAACGCTGGCATCCTAGGAAGCCCCCTGTACAGACACCTGGGCTGCCGCCATCTCTCATGGGCTTGGGAGTCTTGACCCGCTTTAGAGCAGGCACAAAACAAAAAGGCAGGAGGAGGCAACCCCGTAGAGAAGACGAGCTGAAAAGAAAAGAAGCTAGAGCTCTTTTCCTTGCTCTGAGCCCAAAGCCCCCGGGACTGGGCCAAGGGAAGATAGCAGTGCTTGGGGGGAAAAGAGCCAGCAGGACCTGCAGGAGCCCTGCCCATGAAGCTGTGGCCAGCTGAGGAGAGGTGGGGGTGTCAGCATAAAAACTGTGCTAAGTCTGAAACCGAGCCGATGCCATAGGGATTCGCCCGATTTTGCTCAAATGCTAGAAGTCCTTATGGGAATTGCAAGTGTCACTTTTTTCTATAATCCTTTTCAAAATTTTCTGGCAGGAGAGTGGACTGATGTTACATAGGCTAATCATTCCAAGTAGATCTTTTAAACACTCTACGGGGAACAACTGATTTATACTTGAGGAAAGTGAGCGCAGGCAAGTACAAAAGACAGAATGAGTAGGGGAGGGACACACACTCGCCTCTTCCCCTAGGGCCTACCAGGTGTCCTCCAACTACAGCCCTGAGGGCCACATGCGGGTGTTTTTGCCTGTTTGTTATTTTACTTCAAAATAAGATATGTGCGGTGTGCACAGGAATTTGTTCATAGTTTTTTTAGAACTATAGTCGGGCCCTCCAACGGTCTGAGGGACAGTGAACTGGCCCCCTGTTTAAAAAGTTTGAGGACCCTGGTAGCCAATTTAAACTGTCTGAATGTAAGTCAACGGGCAGAATGTTTGCCGGCCCTTCTCTTGTATATGTGCAAAGGGAGGAGGAGCAAGCACTTATAATTTCCCCACTCCTGGGATAGGATGACATTAAGAATTCCACTAATGCTACAGTTGATGTAAAATAAGTTAAAAATAAATAAGACACAAATGAGTGGCAGTCTATAAAAGTACTAGATGACAACATAGAAGGATATTTTTTATAATCTTGGAGTAGGAAAGGCATAATAAAAATATGAGATTGATTTACATATGGATCTTGCTATATTGTTAAGTGAAAAAAAAAGAAAGAAGCAGGCTGGGTGCGGTGGCTCATGCCTGTAATCCTAGCACTCTGGGAGGCCCAGACAGGCCAATTGCTCAAGGTCAGGAGTTCAAAACCAGCCTGAGCAAGAGCAAGACCGTGTCTCTACTATAAATAGAAAGAAATTAATTGGCCAACTAATATATATAGAAAAACTTAGCCGGGCATGGTGGCACATGCCTGTAGTCCCAGCTACTTGGGAGGCTGAGGCAGGAGGATTGCTTGAGCCCAGGAGTTTGAGGTTGCGGTGAGCTAGGCTGATGCCACGGCATTCACTCTAGCCTGGGCAACAGAGCGAGACTCTGTCTCAAAAAAGAAAGAAAGAAGCAAAACAATATTTATATTTTCATACCTCTTTTTGAAAACTATACATGTGCATATGCATAGAAAATGATTGGGAAGGATACAAAATGCTAACGCTGAGTTTTGGAGAATGAAATTGGAACGCATTTGGTTATAGGAGAACTTCATGCTTTTTGCTTAATAAGTAATCATGTTAATTTCTTACAGTGAGCAATTGTTATTTTTATAACTCATTTTTAAAGAAGAAAATAAATAGAAAAATAACTTTAGGTTTAGAAAGCTATTAGAAAATTAACAATATAAAAGAATTTTTCTACATATGAAAACAATATAAAAATCAAAAAGGAAATTTTAAACTTCTATATAATTAAATAGCATAAACAAAGTCAAATCACAAATGGGAAATTATTTACAAAGAAATATGGTGATTAAAAGAATAATATTCTTCAAGGGATCCAGAATAGCCAAAATAAACAATCTCAAAAAAAAAACAAAGTCAGAGAATTCACACTTCCTGATTTCAAACTTTACTACAAAGCTGCAATAATCAAATCAGTGTGATACTGACATAAGGATAGACTTATACATCAATGGAATAGAATTGAAGAGTCCAGAAGCAAACCCTTTCATCTAAGGTAAATTGTTTTTTTACCACGATGCCAAGACAATTCAATGGAAAAAGAATAGTCTTTACAACAAATAGTTCTATAAAAACTGAATATCCATATGCAGAAGAATGAAGTTGGACACGTACATCACACCATACACAAGATTTAACTCAAAATAAATCAATGACTTAAATGTAAGAGTTAAAATGACAAAACTCTTAGAAGAAAACATGGGCGTAAATCTTAATGGTCTTGGATTAGGTGATGGTTTCTTACATATTACACCAAAAGTACAGGCAACGAAAGAAAAAAGTAGATAGACTGCATATCAAAATTATTTTTTTAAATTGTGCTTCAAAGGACACTATCAGGGAAATAAAATGACAACCCACAGAATGGGAGAAAATGTTTGTAAATCGTTTATCTGACCAGAGTCTTGTATTCAGAATATATAAAGAACTGTTACAAGTCTAAAGTAAAAAGACAAATAACTCAATTTTAAAATGGGCAAATAATTTGAATAGGGAAGAAGATATACAAATAGCCAATAAGTACATGGAAAGATGCTCAACATCATTAGCTATTGGGGAAATGAAAGTCAATACCATAATGAGATACCACTTCAAATCCACTAGGATGACTATAATCAAAAGATGGACAATAAAAAGTATTGGTAAGAATGTAGAGGTAGTGGAACATGCATGCATTGTTGATAGGAGTGTAAAATGGTGCAGTTGCTGTGGAAAATAGTCTCACAGTTCCTCAGAAAGTTACATATAGAGTTACCATATGACCCAGCAATTTCACTCCCAGCTTTCTACCCAAGAGGAACGAAAACATGTGTCCACACAGAGTCTTGTACGTGAATATTCACAGAAACATGAATCATAATATCCAAAAGGAAGAAATAACTCAAATATCCATCTTGTATGGATAAATAAAATGTGGTATATCCATATAATGGAATTCAGCCTTATACAGGAATGAAAATTCTGATACATACTAAAACATGTATGAATTTTGAAAACAATATGCTACGTGAAAAAAAGCCAGTCATAAAAGACCAGGTAGTGTATGATTCCATGAAATAGAACATATATGAAATATCCAGAATAGGCAAATATACAGACACAAAAAGTAGAGAAGTGCTTGCCAGGGAATGGAAAGGATGAAGGGATTGGGGGGTAACAGCTAAGGGCAATAAAGTTCCTTTCTATGATAATGAAATGTTCTAAAATCGATTGTGCCAATGGACACTCAACTCTAAACAAACTAAAAGCCATTGAATTGTAGAGCTTAAATGGGTGAAATATATGGTGTTTTAATTTTATCTAAATAAACCTGCTAAAAATAATAATGTCCTTAATATGTAAAGAGTATTTATAAATTAAGAAAATGAAGCAGGAATGGTCAAAAGACAGGAACAGATAACTATCAAGAGAAAAATGCAAAATTCTAATACATTAATATATGCAAATGTTTACCTTCAATAATCAAAAAAATCCTAAGATACTATGTTTCACTCATCAAATTGGCAAAGAATTTTTTAATACTCAACAGTGGTGAGTGTGGTAAGCCAAGTGCTTTCATGCACTGCAGGAACATAAGTTGGTATAATCTTTCTGGAAAGCAATTTGGCAATCAGTGTTGAGAACCTTAAAATGTATATGCGCTTTGACCTGAGGAATCTCTCCTATAAAAATAAACAGAGATTTGGGCCAAAAATTATATACAAAGATGTTATCTACAGCATTATTAAGTATAATCCCAAATTGGAAGCAATGTACATGTCAAACAATAGCAGGACAAATAAATTATGACACATTCATAAAATGGATTGTTAAGCAGCTATTAAAAGTAACATTGTCTTGTAGGATGAAACTGTTTTGTAACTTGATTCCATCAATGTTAGTATTCTGCTTAGGATATCGTACTATAGTTTTGCAAGATATTACCATTGGGGGAAACTGGATAAAGGATATATAGATCTCTTTGTACTATTTCTTACAGTTGCTTGTAAATCTAGAATTATCTTAAAATAAAAGTCTAATTTTTTAAATGACATTCTTCAAGGATTTTTAAGAACAATGAGAAAACGTTCATGACCTTACATTGAATTCTCTGCAGGCAAGATGAAGGTGCAATATAATCTCAATTATATGCCATCTATAAGCATGGAAAGAATGCTGGAATAAACATTGAGTGAATAGATGATAAATAGACAAATAGACATATAGACAGGCAAACATGAGAGGGAGAGAGGAGAGAGAATGAGCTTATATGAACTCCTTTTG